ACTTAATGGGCATGGATTGGTGGGAGTGGCAGGGGAAGGATACTGTAAAATCCCCATTCTCTCCCCACTCCAGGGGAAAGATATAGCAAAATCCCCATTCCCTCCGGATCAGCTGAGACTCGGGAGGCAGAGAATCGATGGGGGCGGGACCAATCAGAGGTGGTATTAACTGGTTCTCCGAACTATTCAAAATTTCTGCTACCGGTTCTCCAGAACTGGTCATAACCTGCTAAACATCACCTCTGATCCACACCAGGATATTTTTAATTTCTAGTTATTGCTTTGTCTACATGAGTTTTAAAAACCTACCATCATAATGAATTCTTCAAGCTACCAGATTTTTTTTTTAACTTTTCAGACTCATTCATGGAAGCTGTTCACATCCTTCATTTTAAAAACCTTGATTCCTAATGTCTGGCTTTGAGCCCATTTTGTAGAACCTGACTTCCAAATGAATGGCTGGCTGGTTGGTAGGCTAGTTGGCTGCCTTCCTTCTCTGAAAGCTACACAACCAGGAAGAAGCCTCTTAATAAAGAAAAGAAAGGGTTCCCATTCATTTTTGTTCCATTAACCTCTCTACTGTTCAGATCCCAAGTTTATAAATAAGATCTGGAAGATATCCCAAGAGGACATTGAGACTAACCCACTTCCAGACCAGAACACTATTCCATCACTCGAAAATAGAGACTGTTTCATCAGATCAGTTGTAAAAGAAAGTAGTGAAAACATATATGATTAAAAGCATATGGTCAAAGCAGAGTTATAATTTCCCAACCCCACAGATGTTTTGCCATATCCTCTTCTTTTTGTGTAATCGTCTGGCTTATAATTAGTCTCAACAATATTGTATGAATTTATATGCCTTACAGCATAAATAAGGTAGTAGGCATTATCATCTTAAACAGGCTTAACAGGAACAAACCCATTGAAGGCAATTATATTTTTATGGTGAAACAAACAGCCTCTAATAAGGAGCAGTTCAGAAGCACCAATGAAGAGATCAGATATTAGTGCAGCAGCCAAAGCTTCCAAAACAGGAAAGGGAGTAACTGTCAGGCTACATCAAATTACCCTCCATATGGGAATGTACATGAGTCCTTTCTCAAGTGTCTATTACAACATAGCTCACAGGTTTTGGTTATTTTATTTAAACCTACAAACATAAATATAAAGCTACAACGGTTTTAGTATTAACTTAAAATGGTGCCCATGGAGAATTCAGAGCCAAATGTGCATAACTTTGCAAACTGTCAATTGCTAAAGCTTCTAAGACTGTATTCCATAGAACTTTATCTATTTGTAAAATGAAATTTCTAGGGTTTTCCTTACTTGTTGTAAGGACCAAGCAACAATATTAACAATCACAGCACAATAATCCTGTAAACAATAGTAGTAGGCAGGGCAATTTTCAACAGAAACAACATTTAACTAATTGGGAAGCAAGAATACCTTCACAAAAAGAAAGAATTTAACAAATTCATGCACAGAAATGTATATAGCTTTTCCTACAACACAGCAACTGGCCAACCAATACAGTGTTTTCATTAGCTTATCAGATATGGCACAATTGAAAGCCATGATGTACAACATTATATTAAAAGGCAGAGCCTGAGCTAGCTCCTTGTTAATATTACAGGGGAAGTAAAAGTATCAAGAACAATTATGCCATGCTGACATAAAAATGACACATGCATCATAACATCATCATGCTAATATGGTCACAACACAATGATCACAATGGTCACAACACAATGCAAAATTATATGAGTACATAATTTGTGATACATACAATATCAATTGTTCCCTCTTATATTGCCCCCACTAGGAGCACCTATTCATACACATCTCAATTTTGTTTGGTGTTTATGGACAAATTTAAAAGGTTGAATATGAAGTTCAAATGAACTCTACAGCCTAGAATTTCATATCACTATGAAGCAAAAGTAAACAAAATAAACCACACCCATTAAAGCAACTGTGTAGTATGGAAGCAGGAGATGCTTATTTGATATGGCCTACAGGGCACACTACAATAGTAATTATTGATATAATGTCTCTGTCCCCCAAATATGTCATAAAGTTCATACAAGCTGAATGTCCAAAAACCATAAAGACATATTATGGTTTATTGGATTTTGATTTAGTGTAAATCTAACCAGTGTGATGTGAAAATAATTGTTGATTTATTGCATTGCAACAAATTCAGCCAACTATGTATCTTTGAACAGTGAAAATCAAGTCACAAAAGATTCCCTGAATGATTCCCTAAACTATTCTACTCAACCAGATGGTCATTACTGTGGCCACATAAGTGTGTTCTAAGCCACACTAAGCATGATTTAGATTGCTATCCAAAACCACAGACACATTACTTGAAGAGTCATTCCCATCTATATTTCATAAATATGTCCCATTATTTACAACTGCATACCAACGCTAACTTTGTTCCCTAGAAAACATTCCAAATTTGCATGATGGTCAACTAAGACCCATATTGCAGTCAGAATAAGTAATATTATGCCATTACTATTAGCTTGTCTAATTCATCATGGAAACCTATCCCTTTCTTAGTAGCATGTTGCATTTGTATGATATGTGCATAGTTCCCCACTAAAACTTAGATGTGCATTCAGTGATTCTGGTTTTGTTAGACGTCCTTGTAGTTTGAACACTATATTTTAAAGTAGGATTACATAAGCCAGAAATTATTTTAAAAGAAATCTACATACAGGTACAGCACAACTTTCGGCAAATCTCCCAGCTGGAATCCAGAGTTAGCAACCTGGTTATGATACAATATCAATTGCTGGGAACATAAGTTAGAGAATGCTATGGTGCTCCTGTCCTGTTTTTTAGTACCGACAGACATTGTTTGGCCTCTGTAGGATTAGAATCCTATTTTACACAGCAGCACTTGTTACATTAGACAATCCTCTGAAAAGGTGAAAGCATTGCCAACAAGCTTTCTAAGCAACTTGTGAAAATACTATATACAACAATACAAATGATGGAATTGACTTAATGGTGCTATAGAACCATATTATAGTGACACCACTCAATTATACTTGCAAAATTGTACACTTTCTAGATTGAGCAGAGCAGTGCTGATACTTATTATTTAAGTCATAAATCTAATCAAAGTAAACAAGTAAACAAGTATATATTTTAATTAGATTATGAACCACAGTACTGAAGTTTAAAAAGAAGATCTTGCATTTCTCCTTTAGTCCAGTAGTGCTCTGTAATAACCTAACAATACATAAATATTGCAGTCTTCCAAAAGAAACTTGGAAAGAGTAAATGTGTGTATTAATATTTGTATCTGCCTGTTTGAACGCATTTATGGTGATCATATTGATGATCTTAACCACAAGAAGGCAAGATGTGCAACCTATGAAGAAGCACCCATTAGAAAAAGAAGCAGCTGGCTGCACAGCACCATATGCGTACTACATGGATATGTGATAACTGATTACAGGGCAAACCAATTCTCTGATTGCACTTTTGCACACCAAACCCCATTTTCATGGGAATACAAACAGCTGCTTTATAAAAACAAATCAGTTGTCTGCTAAGCTAAATGGGAAAAGATTTCCAAAATTTCAAATAAAAGTCTTTCCTGGACCTAACCTGGAGATGCCAGCACTGAATACACCCTTTCCCTAAACTCCTTCCTAGCCAATGGAAGCAATGGCTTGGAAATCTGGGGGAAGGCGGGGGCGTAGTTGAGCCAAACATCTGAAGCTGGATGGAGCAACAGTCTGACTCAGGATAAAGCAGTCTATCTTCCTGAGCAGGAGGGGAAGTTACTCACTGTCATGAGCTGAAATGAGCTTTAGCAGTTTCATACCAAAAACTCCAACACGAGGAGGGGGGATGGGGAAGAAGGGAACCCTTGATGCACCTTAAGAACTCACTATGTGAGGAGGAAAAAAACAAGGCTCCACCACAAAGTGGAAGGAGAGATGGCAGAGTCCTTGGACAAGCTGGAGAACATCTGTGGTGAGGCGACCCTTACAAGGCAGATAAACCTCCAGGTGGCCTCAACGACTTGCTAAAAGAATGCAAATGACCAGCTTGTCTGCAAGGACTATAAACCCTTCCATTCCCCAGCCTAGTTAGAGCAGAAGAAGCTTCTTAGATGAGAAGCAAAACAACCAGAAAGTCCAGTTGCGTCTTGAGCAAAACGAAAAAAGCATTTTTGGGACATCCACTCCTGGACGACTGAGAATCTCCATAAGACATCTATGAGGTTTGCACAACCTCTGCTTGTCATCCTTGGGAAAAGAAGCCAACAGTCCTTAACCCCCAACTGTTTTTTTGAACCTGAAGTAGCTCCCAGCATGCCTTTGTACAGCCGCCCACCACCACAGCTCTCCTCCACACCCGCTCCGCACCGGGGAGCAGCCCACGCACCAGCTCCCCTCCTCACCGGGTGTTCTTTCCACCCACCCAAGCTACGAAGGAATCCCGTCCCGCCCCTCACACTCAACAGCAAGTCCCTGTTGGCTTCAGTTCCACCCCAGGCTTCAGCCTAACCACCACCCCCACCACCACCCACCCCCACACACCCCGCTGCAAATCTTGTAGCGGCTTCCGAGCCCGCGGCCAGGATGCGCGCCCACAAAAACCCCACTCTGCAAAGGGACGTCTGCTCTGCTGCAGCCCACAGAACCGCCCCAAGTGTTTCCCAACCAGCGGTTGCACACGACCAAGAAGAGCAACAGACCCGGCAGCTGCACCCCAGACCAAAGGCGGGGAGCAAACTTCGCCGGACTTCAACAGACAGCCGGGCATCCGAACCACAGGGGGAGAGAAACACCCCGTGACGCCCCCCCCCCTCCGCGATGCCCCCGCGACAGGTTTTTCCTCAAGGAGGTTCTGCAGCAATATTGATACCTCCGGCACCCACTCCGGGAGCTCCCCTGAGGCTAGCCAAAGGTGAGCCCACCAATGACTGACCTCTCCCCTTCGTTCTTTTCCCTCCCCCCGCCTCTCACCTCAATGAGCTGGACGTAGCTGGCCGGGAACCATCCCCTCAGCCCTTCGGCCGTCTCCCCTTCCCACCAGCCGCCGTCCGGCCCCGCCTGGAGTACGGTGAGCAGCTCGCCCGCAGCGAAGCGCAGTCCGTGCCGATGCCGCTCCCCGGAGAAGGGGTAGAGGGTTCTGCAACGCGCCCCCAGCACAGGCAACACCCGCTCCTGCCCGGGCGGTGGCATCACACAGCAGCCCCAGCGACTTGCTCAAGAAACTCGGCTGTAGCCGCCACAGGTGCCGAGCTGATCCGCCTCTGGCTGCCGGGAGTCCGCCTGCTTCCCTCTCGACGCTCCCCAGTCAGTCCAACTGGCGGATTGGCCGCCTCGCTTCCCCGCGCCGCCCCCTGGGACAGGCGGACCGCGGCTCCGCGCCCGCCCTCATACTCTCTCTCTAGCACACGCACACACGAGCCAAAGCGGGCCCTCCCCTCTACGTTCGGTTGAGATTGCAATCCTGGACGTGGGGAGGCGAGAGGCAAAAGGAGGACGGGGGCGAGATAACGACGGATCACCGCCGCAAGTTTGCCTTCCTCGCCCCTCGAGGCGGAAAGAGGCTTACAGAAAAGGAACCTGGCGTCGGACTCGCCGTGAAACGCTCTACAGTAGGAGGCAATCTATGCATCCACGGGGCTTTCATTCAGCCAACGCGTGTTTGGTACAGGTGCGCGGGAGAGAGGCAGGCAAAGCCTGGTGCCCATCAATTCAGTTTTACTGTCAGCCATAAGTGTCGGCGAAATAGCAAATAAAAATAAAATTCCGTCCTCCCTTCACAGTGTTGGGTTGAAACAGGCAAGTTGATATGCCCATTGCTTAACTCTCATTCAGCAAGAAGACACCTGTATAAAATTGTTCTATTCTACCAGTGAAAAAAGAAACCTAAAATATCATTAGAACATAGAAAGATGTCATCCTAGCCTATCAGTGGCTTACCAAATGCTGTACAAATCACCACTACCACTGCAAATGGAAGTTGTAGGTTATATGATGGATACAGTGTTTATTTAGGAACACATTATTTATTTTAGTAAGGGAGAGATCAGGGAGAAAAATCTATGAGGTTGCTAAGACTCCACTTTAACTTGATGACATGTAATCAACATATTTAAGAAATTGATATGGCTGTCCACGTCACAATAGTGATAGGTGTCACTGGTGCACACTACAGATTCTGAATGTGGCGCTTATTGGCCCATGACAAACAAAATAAGATAATTAACACTGAAATGCAAAGTATATCTCTACATCTTATTGTTACAAATATAATGATTATATTCACAATACATTTGGAATGTATCTACAATGACAGCTAACGAGGATAAACTGTTGACTGATAGAATTTTAATAGTTTTATGAGTTTGTTTTGGAGCAACCATATTTGACAATATCCCATCCACGATCAAAGTCAACATGGATAAGAAAGGTGACAATTTGCTTTTCCTTAACTCTTTTTGTCTCCAGGTGTCCCCCACGTGACTGCAAGGGGTAGGGGGAAGCACGGTGAAAAGAATGGTGGGACTAGGAGATCTTTAACTCAATAAAAGAGTTTCTGGAGCCACAGATGGTATTATTTATTGGAGCCCAGGTGTGTGTGTGTGTATGTGTGTGTGTGTATATACATATGTATGTATGTATGTATGTATGGGCTTTTTTTTTAAAAAAAATGGCTTTTTTTAAAAAAATGGGGAGCCAGCACTGATAAAATAATGAGATCACCTATAACAGTGGTTCCCAACACTGGTCCGTGAACTGGGACCGGGACCAGCATGTCAGAAACTGGGCCGTACAAACAAGTGAAACCACATCCATGGGAGCAGGCAGCCTGCGAAACCATGCCCCCTCTGATCCATGGAAAAATCTCTGTCCATGGAACCAGTTCCTGATGCCCAAAAGGTTGGGAGCCACTTACCTATAACCCCTGAACTTTAGTAATTTGTCCAAGTATACATAAAAGGTAATGATTCCCTTCACACATATGTGCTAGTCGTCCCCGACTCTAGGGGGTGGTGCTCATCTCTGCTTCAAAGCCGAAGGGCCAGTGCTGTCCAAAGATGTCTCTGTGGTCAGGTGGCCAGCATGATTAGACGCCAAAGGCACATGGAACGCTGTTACCTTCCCACGAAAGGTGGCCCCTATTTTTCAACTTGGATTTTACATACTTTTGAACTGCTATGTTGGCAGAAGCTGGGACAAGTAGTGGGAGATCACGGCACTAGGGATTCGAACCACTGAACTGCCGACTTTTCTGATCTGATCGGCAAGCTCAGCATCTTAGCCACTGAGCCACTTAAGTATACATAACTCAGTGTTTAATGAGTACTGAGTGCTCAGTGTATGTGCAGGGAGTAACATTCACCCCGATGGAACCAGAACCATCCGTATCATCAATGGTTACATTCAGTCTAGAAATTAAGCCTGGAGTTTAATGGGATATTGGCTATCAAGAGGCAAGCTTTGGGGCTCTCAGAGGGAAGAATGTTTTAAATTAAATGTTCACAAATTGTAAATTGCATGCTTTGAGAGAGGTTACTTTTTTAAAGCTGATCAGGTTTGACAAAGCAAAGTTGGAGCACTGTCCAAACTGACTGCTCACTTGTGTTCTTGCAATCTGGTGGTTAGGAGTTAGAAGTTCAAGGAGACCCAAACTCATTGGTAGCCCCACACTATCCAAACTTGTTGCCATTTAATGGGACAGAGAGGGGCAAAGTATGGTGTGAGTTGTGTTAATATAAACAAAGTGGGAATCCTGTCAATCCCATCTTGCTTTTCTTGGGAAAACCAGAAAAAAGGCCTAGGGTGAGTTTTGAGAAATGGCTAATCCCAAAGGTCTAAGCCATCTGTCAAAATTATCCACCAATCACCACAATAGTGTAACTGACAGGTGGTCTTCCATTGGCTGGTGATTTCCAGCATGGCATATGGTAGAGCATCTGTACCTCTATAGAATGCATGTGTATGTTTTAGTAATGGTTGTTAAATTGTTTATCCTTTTAAATGGGAAAAATAGTATGTAAAAAGCTAAATATGACCAATCTATAGGCAATGGCACAGCACAGTCAAAATAAAGGTAAATCAAGAAAGTACGATGGAATTTACATATCTTTTAGTAAATCTTAAACTTGCTCATCTCAAATCCCAATGTAATTACTGGTTTTATCATCGAGATTACAAATGAATTGATAATTTTAGAAAAGACATGGTACTGTAAAGTTTGAAAACCCCTGTTCCAAACCATGCTAAAAATGTATGTATTTATTTATTTATTAGTAATATTTGTATACTTGTCCATCTTTAACTGGATGACTCCTAATCAAAAATTAAAAGACAATATTTTATAATTCAATAAAAATATTAAATGAGAAAAATTAAAAGACATATAAAATCATATGAAAGCTATAAAACTCAACTGATTAAAACTAAAAACAACAAAAACCTGGCACCAAAGTCCTGGTGGAGTTTCTCTTTGTGCAAGACCTATACATATACAGTATTATTCCAACACTATTACTAAAGCAACACATTACAGAATATGACATTATGACAATGTTGCTGTAATATTATGAAAGCATCGTAGGCGGATATGCCAAGGCAAACATTTTATATCAGTGAATAAGAGAGATAAATGGGGCAGGTCAGAACATTTCTTTTTATAAAGGCACACTTTTATTTCCTTAATAAAGTTTTCTATTAGGTAAAGTATACCCCACCCCACCCCATCAATGAGCTGCTGGATTTAGCCCTCTAAGAATAAAGTGACTATTCATAATCTTGAAATGAAAATATTGATGTGCTATTGCTTTGAAGCGTTATCATAATGATAGACTTATATCACTCTGAATTTGCTAACTTGAACTGATGAAATTGATGGCTAACTTATATAAGGAGATGGGAAATCAATTGCTATACTCATTATTGGGTTTTTAAATTTTGCATTGTTATTACAGACCTTCAAGACATAAATCATAATTTACCAGTTGTCGTTATCCTGTAAAATGCATGTTAAGAAGTCAAGGATGTCTCAGAATAATAGTAAAGTGTGAAGCCTTTCGACAAAAGAGGACATTTGTTTAATTTGGACAATGCATATTTAATTTCATGTCTGATAAATTTTACTGTCTATTGTTTTAAAAGTCAGTATCTTGCACATAATATAGTCCGAAGGACTCACATTAGGCAAAGATTAGTTTCATCTAAACATGCATACTTTCTCCAAAAGACAGATAATATGGACATCATAAACTGCTAAACTGAAACCTACATGACAAGAGAGCAGCAAAGTACAGGTGGTCTCGACTTACAACAGTTCATTTAGTGACCGTTCAAAGTTACAATGGCACTGAAAAAGGTGATTTATGATTATTTTTCATAGTTACGACCTTTGCACCATCTCCATAATCATGTGATCCAGATTCAGATCCTGGTGCAACTGGTTCATAGTTATGACCTCTGCTGTCTCCCAGGGTCATGTGATCACCTTTTGTGATTTTCTGACAAGCAAAGTCAATGGGGAAGCCAGATTTGCTTAACAACCAGGTTACTAATTTATCAACTGCAATGATTCACTTAACAACTGTAGCAAGAAAAGTTGTGAAATGTGGCAAAACTCACTTAACAAATGTCTCACTTAACAACAGAAATTTGGGGCTCACTCCAAGTAAGTTGAGAATTGCTTGTAGAAGAGCAATCCAGAAGTAATCCATTTCTTCTCTTAATTAATGCATTTGTAACAACTGTTACTATTGTGGGTATTTTCTGTTGTATTGATAGTTTTGGTAATAATTTACCAAAGTACTGCCGCACACAATTATTTAAACTGGAGCTTCCTGGACAGATTTAAGGAACAACTTCCCTTTAATTTCAGTTGATTGAAAGTAACTGCTGGTTATCTCAGACTGATTATTCTAATGTGTGTTTGCAGAAAAGTCCATGTTCCTAATGATATAAGCAAGGAAGCCCTGCTTGATAAGATCAGAGATTCTTCCAGTCTATCATCCTGTTTCCTGCAGTAACTTTCTAAGTTCGTCAAAGAAGCCCACCATAGAGGTTTTTTTTTCCTTGCACCTTTTCCAGTTCTGTGATATCCTTGTATTGCTGAAGAATTGCAAGTGTAAACTCAATTCCAATTTGTTTTATAATGTCATGATATTGGCAGTTCCATTTCCAACTCCAATATCCTATAGATTCAGAGTTGTCCCACGGTGTTTTCATTGAACTGCCCACAAAACACAGCCCCTTGTTAATCATTGCCAACTGAGTTCCATTCTCTATATTTGAGAAGTTGGCT